GTACAGGAGTTAATTAATTCTTACTCTGTAAGAATTTTCAGTAGCTTACTCTGAATACTAGTTTTAACTGGTAGCTTTTTCTTAAAATGTTAGATTGTTTTGTAAGGAGAATTCATACAAATTAGAATTTTATGTGGCCCCAGCTTTTGAAGCCTGGCTACAGAAGAAATATTTAATTTTGTTTTTATAAAGAAAAAGTTTATTTTCATCACAAGAAGCACACAGACTATATACAGTACACACCAACATAAGTAAAAAAAAAGTGCATTATGCATCTTCTACTGCAAATTCACAGTATAAAAGATACTGCCTTTTAAATATATAATATAAAAAAACAAGGAAAGCAATATAATTAAAAATCATCAATATCATAGTGCAACATGCTGGAACCCACCGGCAGTTTCTGAAACCTGAAGAACTTATCTTGTGGAGCTCCTGATCTTGAGGTGGGGGGTGTTATTTGTACCTGCATTTTGCTGCAAAGAGCTCAGGACACCAACAGAGAGGAAAACAGGGTAGCCTAGGTGGTAATAAAATCTGCAAGAGTACAATTATGTGATGGGGGAAACGGGGGATCGGTGGGGGTACGTGTGCTGGGCTGAAGTCCAGACAGGGCTGTGGACTGTACCATCCCCCAGCTGGCTACCAAACCAAGTTCCATTCTTTCCTCGGTACAATGGGACGAAGTGTGAGCCAATGCCTGCCTTGCCTGCAGGAACTACCAGCGCCATTTCTAGCAATGCTCCTCAGGCTGTTGTGGGCACACGTGTCAAAATGCACGAGTAAGGGATGGGCGAGCTCCAGCCCAAACGCCAACCACCACTGACAAGGCAAAGTTTTCAATCACAGAAAGTGAGAGCTTAACAGTTTCCCTTATAAATACACAGTATTTGTAAACTATTTTTAAGGCACTCCATTGTAAAACAATAATTACAGTGTAGGAAAAGAGGGAGGAAGCAGCCATCTTCTAGTGCAGCACGGCCAACTTAAGGGCAGCAGGGAACTGGAGGTCTGGTTATAAAGACCCCTGCTTGAGGGACTGACTGAAGCTGGGGCCATAGCACCTACCGCAAGACAAGGCAGTCACATCAGATCTGCCAAGGGTAGCGCTGTGCGGTGTCATGCTGAATCGGTCAAGGTGGCCTGCTTCATGCTCGGTAGTGCAGCATGTGTGTGGGTGAGAGAAGTGATGCACAAGATGATCTTATTCAAGTTTTAAATATATCTGTATCTATACACGCAGTGGACTCATACACGTGGGTATTCAATTGCAGAGCAGACAATAAAAAAACCAAGTAGTTGAGCACGGGGGGGGTGTGTGTGTCAATCAGCTTTTGTTTGGCATGTGGCATCTGCAAGACCCTGAGGGGTGAGACCAGAGCAGGTACTGCACTGTGCTGTCCCCATGTCGCTAATTTCCTGGGCCATCTTGCTCTCCTGCCAGAGAGGCCATCACCCTTGCTGCGTCATGTGTGTTTTGGGGAAGCCCTGCTAGGTGCTGAGCAGAGTAGGGTTGGGTGAAATATATTCTGGCACCAGGCACTTCTGGTCAACAGAGCGGTCCCTCTTCAGACACCCTGGGTGAGGTGATGTGTGTGATCTTGACTAAATGGTGCCACATTTGTTCTCACTAGGAAGAAATGACCCCAGGGAAGAGGGGGGAGTCGTCAACCTTCTGGCATCCTGCCCATGTGGAGGTAAGAATGCCAAAGTACAGGGTTTACTGAAGATGTTAACTCTATTACAACTTTGTCTCCGTCCCGTGGCACCTCTGTACTTACCCACAAGGGGCTTTAGAATGGGCTGGAATGCTTCTTAGCTGGAGAGGGTCGGGTGGAGAAGAGGTTGGACAGTGCAGCCACCTGTGAGCACCTATGAGTACTCTGAATGCCTGATGGACAGGGTGCCCCTCTCCAGCAGCCCAAAGGTGGACCTGGGTCCCCACACTGAGATCACAGAAGCAAGGAATGCTAAAAGCAGTACACCTTGTTCTTAAGGTCATGCAATGATGGACACTGCTCCACGACCCTGAAGCAGCCCTAAGAGAAAGCTGGCATTGTCAAATCATGCTCAGAGGACAGCCTGGTTGCCAGACAGACCTCCCTGTATCAATGCAAGGAGATCTAGAAAAGTTTAGCCTAACTTTTGGTACAGCGTATGAATGAAAGCGGAAGTCAAAGTGAAAGAAGAAATGCAGCTGACTACACAGGGTATCAATCAAGATTTAGAAAAGTTTTCATTCTCTGCTAATTCAGCAAAGGCATTCCCTGAAAATGGCCATCACCAAAATCAATGGTTTTCACAGCATAAACCCCTGCCGCTCATCCTGCCACTCCTGTTCAGAATCTTCCCCATCAGCTAGGACTTCAGGCAAAGTATTGGCCAAGATATGGCATATCTCATGGTGCAAACTTTCTTTTCAGACTCTGGTATGAATCTGTCTTTACCAAGGTGCCCCCAAGCCTGGCAGGATGCTCATTCTGTCAGTATATTTTTAAGAGCAATTTGCCATATGTTTACATGCAGCCAATCTGGGTCTTGGGAGAAACACCCGTCCTTCTCTCCAGGCCCCAGTGACACCCGTCAGCGCGAGCACAGTTCATTCTGCTCCGATGATGGGCACCTGAGCCCTGGTCTGTTCAGCTGCTGCTCTATGGGTTGTGCTTCTGAAAATGAATGGGTAAGTCTGCCAAAAGCCAAAGACCCACTCATATTTGTAATCCTCCCCCACCTTTTAACTGATAAAGAAAAATTACAGCTTTCAAATTAAACTTTTTAAAACTACTGTTCTCATACACAGATGAGCCTAAAAAACCAACATAAGCCTGTCATCACCGAATCTAAAGGATTATTTTGACACAAAAATTGATCCACCACATGAAATTTACTTTGGCAAAACATCAAACTTGATATATTTTATGAGAATACGCTTTTGCTGGCAGGGAAGAGGGGGACTCAACAGGGTTTAAGTGGGTAATCACCATTTTAGATGATCTCAATTGTCAGTGGTGGAAAAATAAATTCTTAAGGTATAAAGTGAAATAATGTATGCTTACAAAAACAAAAACAGAAAACAATGCCAGGGAGAAAAAGGTCTTGGAGAGAGGGTTTTTACAACGACTATCCACTTGTTGAAATGGGGGCTAGTCTTGCTCCTGAAGACCCTGCCTGGGGTGCTCTCTGGAATGGCTGCTTTGGGAGGCCCAGTTCTGACCAATGTAAGGTGTACGATGGCGACTCATTCGTCCACTTTCAGAAGTGGGCTGGCCTTTGGAGGCTTTCTGGTGTCACTGAATCACTCTGGCTGACCCAGCGGAGAGCGAGTTGCAGATGTGGGAGCACTTCAGCGAGCAGTGCCCCTGCGTGTACAAAGCCACCCCACCTGCAGGGACACGGGTGGGTGACAAAGTCCGGGTGGTGGGGAGGGAAGGGCTTGGCATGACATGTTGAAGAGGCAGGGAAGGCCTTCAAATTTATCCAGCTTCTTCCTGGAGGGCTCTGGGCAGGCCTGTGTTGTCAAATAAAACCAGGGGTCAGCAATTTTTTTCTACAAAGGGCCTGATAGTAGATATCTTAGGCTTTGCAGGTTACATGGTCTCTGTGGTGCATTAGCTTCTTTTTTTTTAATCCCTTAAAAATGTAAAAACCATTCTCAGCTCATGTGGCCACACACCATAGTTTGCTGACCCCTGAATTAAAACTTCCTGCCTTCTCTACCAAGCCTCTTCCCTCTCTTCAGAATATTTCATCATCCTGTCTTGCTGACAGTAAGTGAGTCCCTCCACTTAAGCCCAGAGCCTGTGGCAGCATGTCCCACAAAGCTCACCTAATTCTCAAAGGCGCTGCCCCCGGGCCCAGCCAGGGACTACAGACCCCTCCTTTACTCCATCCTCACTGCTGAGAAGAGTGGGAGACAAGCAGGAAGCAGTAAACATCCGGACAGCTTCTCTACAGTCCAGTTCCTCACAGAGAAGCTGCTTCTGAGTTGCTCCTGAATAGGGACTGACAGGAGAGCCTCACCGCCAACCAACATTTCCTCTCCACAGGAGTGGATGGGACCTAACAAACCCATGGGCCGGACTGCTGGCAGGGTGACCCCATCTCAGAACCACACCCCTGCCAGACACGCGAGCGCTTTCGAAACCACACAGCCACACTGGGTTCAGCAGCAGGTGAGACTCAACAGTGCTCTGGAGGCCAGGTAGGGAGCGATCTGAACCTCATCATTAGCCCCAGCAGAGGACATCACATCCCCCCACTGCACCCAGTGCAGGCCAGACACACATCACCCAGCTGCGACAACACAGCAGGCCAGAGAGGTCCACTGCACAGAGGGTCTCCATGCACCACAAGGCTGGTGGGTGCCACAGCATTTACGCCTGTGTATGACTTTACCTGGCAGTGCGTGGTATAGTCCACTGTATAGTCTTAACACTTTTTGGGGTCCCAACCAAAAAAATACAAATTTTGTTTTCTGACACAGCATTATTCCCTGGAAGGAGCCTTGGTCATTACTGTATTTTAAAAATCAAAAGCACAGCAGGAACAGAGGTAGGACTTATATTGCCATCCAAGAGTTTTCCCAAGAGGGCCTGAATGAGCTAGGAACGTGCCCCAGGGTGATGATCCCGTCACCACAATTATTCTTTTGCATGTTGCAGATGGAATATTTTTCAGTGTGTGTGCCTATCTGTCTATGCTCTTCTTTAAACATGATTGGTTTTGAAAAAGAAACACATGACTTGGGGATTAGAATTTTGTGTCTACTGGTTGACAGCTTCTGGTTCCCCCAGGCCACACCACTGACATCTCCCCTTTCTTCTTGTGGTACGTGTTAGTTATTTTTGTTCCTTCACCTCCCCTGATGGCAAGAAGGGAAGAACAGTTAGGAGAATGCCAATTGTAATGAGAAATCAAGATGTACTGGGCTGACCAAAATGCACAGTGAAACTAAGGGAAGAATCATGTGAAAATCTAAGTCTAATTGCAGCAAAGGTGGGTCAGCTTTTGCTCATCGATGAGGAGCTTCTCAGGTTTTCTGGGGCAGATTTCCCTGACTGTTCAGAGGTTGTGGCTGGGTTCCCTGCGGTTGCCTGGGACGCGTTCAAGAAGGAACACTCACTCAGCTTGGCACCCTGGGAGTCGGCTATTGTGGACACGTCGGCCTCACAGGACAGGTCCTCGGCCGAAAAGTTGAGACTTCCAAGCTTGGCAAGAGAGTGGGAGCGCTTCAGTGGGGATGAGACCGTGAGGCCTGCCAGCCGGAGCCGGGTCTCGATTTCCTGCATCCGCTGCTTCACCAGGCCCGGCTTCCCATGGACGCTGTGGATGCTGTCACTACTGGAACTCCGAGTCAGGTTGGAACTCATGGAGGAGGAGGTGGGTGTGTAGCAGATGGTCTTCAGAAAGTCTTTTGAGAAATGACTGGTGTGGTCCAGGCGGCAGAGGAAAGGAGTAGGGCTTTTCAATGAGGCCCCTTCTGGTGGGGGGTGGGCAGAGTCTGACTTCTCGCCGCCAGCAATGCTGGGTGGAGCCGGGAGTCCCGGGGGAGGGACAGCAGCCAGATCCTGGTTCTCCTCTGGTATGCTGGCCTCCAGCCTGCTGGTGGCGCTGTCCCTGAAGGGAGACGCCGGGTCTGCAGGCATGCCCTTTAGCCTCTCCAGTTCTTTGGTGTGCTTGTGGACCAAGCCTGCCTTCTGCAGCTGAATGATGGATTCCTGGTGCTGCATCAAGTAGCTGTTGGTTGTGGGTTTCTCGGATTCTTTACTGAACTGCAGACGCAGGTCCTTGGCCGGCTTCAGATCTTTCTTAGATGGCGGTTCCTCCTTCACAACTTCCATGCTGGGAGAGTTCTTATCACAGTGAGAGTTCTTCAAAAGGAGGGACTTTGACAGGACTTTTTGGGTCTCTCTGGAAGGTTCCAAAAGGCTAGCTGGTAGCTCTGGGACAGCCCCTGCCCCAGAACCACTGGAGTCTGGCCTCCTCGAGCCTGCTGGTGGTAGAAATGGGGAACTTTTGGTTGGCCCAGAGGCCAGCTTCTCCAAAGCTCGGGACCTACCAGACATGTGGCCCACAGGGGAAGAAGTGAAGTGGGGCAGGAAGGCTGGCTGGGTGCAGATGGCAGGAGCACAGGGGTTCTCGCACTGCTCCCCCAAGGCCTCTGGAGCCCTAATGGCTGTAGGGTACATGCAGTCGGCACAGGATTTGTAGGAAGGCTTCACTTTGTTAAGGATCCCCAAAAGGGCAGCATGCTCAAAGTCGTCCGGACAGCTCCTCTTGCTGTTGTTGTTACTTAGGTTTTCACAGTTGAGCAGGGTTTTGTCAAGCTGGGCTGGGGGCTGCCCCCACGTCCCTCCTCCGGGGCCCTCCTCCCTTTCCATCTCCTCCACCTGTGGCAAGGAGCCACAACGGGCTTCGGGGCTCCCAAACTCTAGTTTCTTCTTCATTTCCTTCTCACAGAGTCCAGAACCTTCCTGGGCATGTCTGGCAGGCTTGTGACCCTCTGCTGGCTGAGCCGCTTCCCCCAGCAGAGCGTCCCTCTCCAGGTCCTCCAGGGGGACCATGCTGCCTGTTTTATCATTCAGGGAGTGCAGGACAGGGTCTGAGAGTCGCTGGAAACAGCAGGGAAGAGCGGGTCCTCCTGAGGACCTGCTGCCTGGGAAACCAGGCTGGGCGGCATCATCCAAGCAGGGCAGCTGGCCTTCTGGGGTGTCATCCAGGGTCTCTGGCAAGAAGTCCCCAGGCCCTGCAGGGTCATCCACAGGCTGCTGCAGGCAGCTCTTGGTCTGCTGGCACCACAGCTTGTTGTGCTGCTGTTTGCTCGCATCCAAGATGCCTTCATACTCAGACAGCTGCCTCATAAAGCCTGCCTTGGGGTGTGTAATGCTGCGCTTTTGCTTCACATAGTTGTAAGCTTTTTCCAGAGGCCAGCCAAATTCCTTCATGGCATAGGCTATGACGGTGGAAGCCGATCGACTGACACCCATTTTGCAATGTACCAGGCACTTGGAGTGGTTCCTCTTCGCTTTGTTTATGAATTGGTAAGCTTCATTCCAGTGGGCAAGAAGGTCAGTTGTCTCTTCATCATACACTCGGATGTTATGATATGCAAATAAGCCAGGAAAAAAATTATCTCTCTCTCTAGTGACATTCAGAATGTAGTCCACACCTGAGCCCTGCAGTTCCTCCAGATTGGATGCATTCCATTCCGAGCCGAGATAAAGATGATTGAAGATCAAGGAGGGTTTGTCCATCTGTCCCAAGATAAGCAGCATCTCGTTGTCTATGAATTCTTTGAATTCTTTCAAGTTACAGTTCATCTGTTTCTCTAACTCATTACGGATTTCTTTGGAGGTCACGTTTTCTAGATCCTGGCTCATCATGATGCTCTGGAGTTTGGCTTTGATGAGGCTCTCAGTCCTTTCCCCTTCAGTTGGCTTGTCCACAAATAGGGCTGGGGAGTCGGGCCGTGTGGACTCCAGGTCCTGCATGGTGTTCCACTCGTTGATGCAGCTCTGATCAGAGCTAATGCAGCTCTCATAGTAGGTGGCCCAGATGAGGGCCACACCTCCGGGGAAGTAGTTGTGCCATCGTGCCACTTCACAGGCCTTGTGAATGACCTGCAGGGCAGACCACATGGCCTGGACAGATACGGGCTTGAAGACGTGCATCCTTCCTGCTGTGCTGATGCTGAATCCACCATCTCCATCAAGGTGGATTTTTGTGTTGCTCCACAGTCGGACGACCATGCCAATGGTGCAGCTTTTACTTTCCTTACTGGAAAAGTCGACTCCCAGCAAGATGCTCTCCTCAGTGTCCTGGTGCCCGCTGCTGTCCACCACCACCATGTACCGGACCCGCTCTGCCCAGGCGCTCTCCAAGCGCACAGCCAGCTTGATTCTATCTTCACACTGCAGAAGGTTGGATCATTACTTGAAGATGTTGGGGCAAGTCACCTGCATGCTTGTGGGGATGCTGAAGACTCCTCTGGCCTTGAGGGCTGTTTCCCTGTTGTAAGAAGAGGGCTGCTCCTTTCACCATGAAAAAGCTCTCACTTAAGCAGAAACCTGAGCACTCCGGAAACAGCCAGCTATTAACAGTGACCTTTGCCTTGGAAATCATGGGCAAAAATTCCCCTTGGTTTCCCTTACATTCCTGAGGTTTAACTACCGATCTTCATGCTGCCAGCCTCCAACTCGCTGTTGCTGGTGGAGGAGGAGGCGGTGCTGGGCATGGGCTACTGTTACAGGGTCACCAAGGCCATGGCTGCGGCACGGCGCTCGGGTGCCGCCGAGACCCTAAGATAGAGCCACCGCCGTCGCCCAGGCCGGGCCACTATTTAATTTTTTTTATTGAAGTGTAGTTGATTATGGTATTCTACTGGTTTCATGTATATGATATAGTCATTCAACAGTTATCTACATTATTAAATGCTCACCCCAAAAACTGTTGTTACCATCTGTCAGCATACAGTGATATTCTAATATTATTGATTATATCCCCTATGCTGTACTTTCATCCCCATGGCAAATTTATGCCATGATTAGGATTTTGAATCCTTTTATCTCTTTCACCTGTTTCACCCACCTCTCTATCCCCTCCTCCATGGCAACCAGCAGTCTCTTCTGTGTCTATGTTTTATTTTTGTAAATTTGTAAATTCCTCATATAAATGAAATCATATGGTATTTGTCTTTCTATGCTTGGCTTATTCCACTTAGCCTAATACCCTCTAAGTCCATGTTGTTTCAAATGGCAAGATTTCATTCTTTTTTTTTGTGAAGTAATATTCCATTGTGTATATGTACACATCTTTATTCATTTATCAATGAACATATAGGTTGCTTCTATATCTTGGCTATTATAAATCAGGGGACAGTAAACATAGGAGTGCATATCTTTTCAAAGATTTTGATATTGTTTTCTTTGAGTAAATTCCTAAAAGTGGAGTTACTGGTTTGAATGCTATTTCTATTTTTAGTTTTTTGAGGAACCTCCATACTGCTTTCCACAGTGGCTGCACCAATTTACATCCCCACCACAGTGTAGTAGGAAGGTTCCCTCTTTTCTACATCTTCGTCAATACTTGCTATTTCTTGTCTTTTGGATAATGGCCATTCTGATAACTGATAACAATGAAGTGTTACCTCATTGTGGTTTTGATTTGCATTTCCCAGATGATTAGCATTGTAGAGCATCTTTTTATGTGCCTTTTGACCATCTGTATGTGTTTGGAAAAATGTCTATTCAGGTTCTCTGCCCATTTTTTAATTGGGTTATTTGTTTCTTTGGTGTTGAGGCATATGAGCTTTTTATATATTTTAGATGTTAACCCCTTATGAGAAAATCATTTATGAATATATTTTCCCATACCTGAGGTTGCCTTTTGGTTTTGTTGATGGTTTCCTTTGCTGTATAGAAGCTATTCTATTTGATGTAGTCCCACTCGTTCATTTTTGCTTTTCTTTCCTTTGCCTTCCCCACCTATCTAGAAAAATATTCCTCATGCTTATGTTGAAGAGATTTTTGCCTATGCTTTCTTCTAGGTGTTTTATGGTTTCATGTTTTATATGTAGGTTTTTAGTTCCATATTGATTAAGCAAAGGTGAATAGCTCTTTTCACAGATACCTTACTTTCACCAGTGGGTTAGTTTTTTTTCATTCTTTTCCCTCTTGTTTTTAATTTGCAACAGAATTCATACAAAAACTGACCCATTGTATATATGAGACTGTCTAAAATTGGATTATGATAATTTATGAATTGCAGATACTTTATTCAAAACATTATTTAATAAAGCTTCACTTTTTGTTGCTGACAACAGTATTCAGCTGAGTTAACATAAAACCACTTAAGATTCAAATTAAAGGAAGTTTAATTTGATTGTGCAGTCTCCCTTGAAAACCGAGTTTTAGCCTAAAGAAGTAAATTACATAGCCTGTTAAAAAATAAGTGCTATAGGATGTTAATGCTATATAGTCCTGTGTATACCCATGAATACCTTATTATTTGTGTTTAGAGTGTCCAATTCTCAGAGTTTTCACAGTGCAATAGGTGACCTTTATGAGCAACTCTGAACTCCAGTAAACTTATTTAAAAAGCTAGGAAAATATCAAGTAACACTGAGGATTTTTCAGTGTTTTAGTTAAAGTTGGATTTTTCAAAAGTTTTAACAATAAAATAGGGCCCAATAACTAGGTGAAATAGTTTAAAGAAACTGCTAAGTCATGAGAAATGAAAATACGAGTTCAAATCAGCAACATAATAAGAAAACACATGAACAGCAGTTTCTGTTACCTTATTTCAGGTTTCCTCTACTTTGTGGAATAAACCTGACAAAGAAAAAGTTGGGGAAAATGTCATTTCATTGTTGGTTTTCATGAGAAAATTGATGGGAAAACTTCCTGACACACAATGCATTTATTTAACAAATACCATGTGCCTATCATGTTCTAGACACAGTCTTAAGTACCAGGAAATGATGGTAAATGAAATATTTGTTCCCACCTTCAAGGATTCAATATTCTGGAGGAAGAAAAAAATTAAGAATATAAAGATAGATGAGTTAAATAACTGATCATTTTACTAAGAGCTGCAAAGGAAACAAGGGTCTTAAGTAATAAATAAGGCGAAGCCTTTTTTTGGGAGGGTGGTGAGAGAAAGCATCTGTTTTGCTGCCATCAAACTGAATGCTAAAGAAGGAAAACAAACTGGCCACATATAGGGGAGTAGGGTGAACTCAGGGATGAGAGGAAGGAAAGGGAAAAACATGCCAGGCAGAGGGAATGGGGACAGCTTGTGCAAACAGCTGAGCGTGATGAGATTGGTCTCTTCCAGTATCTGGGTCTCCTAAAGGGAAGTGGTGAAGAAGTAGAACCAGCTAGGGTGAGGGTGGAGCGTGACTCGTTATGTCATAGAAGGTTTTGCAGAGTGGAGTAAACAGTGTGCATTGAAATCGACTGGAGTATTTAGTCATAATGGTGATAATCTTATTTTAGTTTTTAAAAGTTTATTCTGCCTCTCAAAGAATGGACTGTAGTTAGGGTAAAGAAGGAGTGAAAACTGTCTACTGGAATAGTCCAGGCAAGACACAACACAACAATGACTTTGACTAGGGGACAGCAGTAATAATGGGGAAAAGTAAATGTATTCAAGACATTTTGGAGATGGACTGTTATGGAGTGGATATTGGGGGGTGGGTAGAAAAAGAGGAGGAATCAGGCATTTCTGGTTCAATCATCTGAGTACATTGTGACAATAGAAGAACAAGTTTGGGAGGACAAGTCAAGTCATCCTGATTTGAGGTATGCTGAGGTTGAAATGGCCATGAGACATCTAAATGAAAAAAGACCTATAGAGTTGCACTTTGGAAGAAAAGAAAAATCTGGGCTAGATTTGAAAGTGTTAGATTCAAAAGGCTGCCTCAGTGGAGGACTAACTTAGCTCCAGCTGCTATGATAAATACCATAGACTATGTGGTTTCACCAAGTAACAGTTATTTCTCAGAGTTCTGGAGACTGGGAAGATGAAGACCAAGGTTCCAGGCAGTTTTGTTCCTGGTATGAGTGCTCTTGCTGCAGCTTCACACGGTGGACAGAGAGATCATGTCTCTGATGTCTTTCTTTATAAGAGCACTAATATCATCATGACCCTATTACCTCCCAAAGGTCCCACTCCAGATACTGTCGCACAGGGTATTAGGGCTTCAACATATGAATTTTGAGGGATATAGACATTCAGTCCATAGCAAGGGCTAAGTTGAAACTGACTTACAGACATGCTTCCTGAAGTGCTTTCTAGATCCTTCCTGTAACATGGCCCTTTTCTGTTCCAGCTCACCTCTAGCCTCTCTTTAGGGATCCAAGGACAGCCACCACCCCTCGCCTAATTCTCCTTGAAGCTGTGACTGATTCAGACCCATATACTTTCCTTGTACTATAATGTTTAATTCTCTTCTTTAGCTTTCATTTTTTAGAGTGGCAGTATTGAAATGTCACTCCATTTACTTATGATAGAATAAAAAATATGGAAAGAATGTTTATTGTAATAACTTCACCACCACCTGTACTTATTTAAAGATTAGAAAACAGAGAGTAAAGCAGTTTCTTCAAGGTCTAATAACTAAGTGTCATGTAGAATCTTAAATTGAAGTCAGCTACCAGCCTCTGGGGGTTTCGAACCACTAGAATTTTATTTTATTTTTATGTCTGAAATACTTAATTTCAGTTTAAGTTAATTCGCAAATTAACTTAAAATAAGAGCTATATTGAAATTGAGATGATCTAAAAACATTTGATTTCCCAAGCTCTGATATAAATTAGATTCTTCTTAACCTCTGTATAAGTAATGTATGCTTTTAGAACTTAAATAAAATCATAATATTTTAGAGCTAAAGTATTTGAGAGATCAATGCTAATTGAGGCCCAAAGAAATTATGTGTCTTTTTCAAGGTCATGCAACTTGCTGGAAACCAGCTTCTCTGAAGTTTACTCTGGATCTCTCTTCACCAGCCTTCTAAGGTAATAAGCATTGTGCAGGGCACGGTAACTTTTGCAATGTTACCCTGTACATAAATTACTGATGAGTCATTGTCAGATGTTTAGTGCTATTTTATCAACCCTTTCAGAATATTAATTATCTTTTCTGCCGGTGTCTTGACAGAAATTTATATGGGATAAGATGCTCTTCTTGCTGGAACACATAAAACCTTTGGTAAAATAATTTTGGACTTAATTCCTGAACACTTGTTCCATGGCCAGCTTGAACAAGGAAAGCATTAAAGAAAAGCTGCTTCTAAAAGCACTGTCCATAATAGAGAACAGAGAGAGAAGAGTAACATTGTAACTCTGGGAGGTGTGGGGGAACTGTGTTCCCAGCCCCAGGGAAACCCGTGTGGCTGAAATCAGTCAAAGGGAAAAATAAAGTGGGAGAAACCCCTTTATTACTTACAAGAAGTCATCTGTTCCCTCTCCAGTGTCTCTTCCTGTCCTGGCTGGGAAGAACCCAAAAAACCTCTCTGGTCCCTACATGTGCTAGACTCTTTCCCCTGCCCTTGTAAGCACCTATTGATCTGGAGATGGATTAAGGCCAGGAGAGAGATTCTGACAATACTGCCATTTTACCCACAAACATGAAAAGGTTTAGTTATTACACCCTGATACAGATTATAAGTAGCAGAAATCAGAACTGAAATGGGTTAAGGGTGGTACTTTTGGCTAAAAAAGATGATTCTCATGAATTTAGGTTTGCAAATGTAATTTTCATGAA